TATATATACATAACACAATCGTGTACATTAGTTTCAAGTCATGTGCTATTTGTCATATAAGAGAGTGTCGACAATATTAAACCAAACTAATTAGCATTTGATGTGGTTAATTAAGTGTTTTAATTAAATAGGGGTTTAGTGTTATTTGTGGCATAGGAATTAGTTTCACAGTGAATTTGGTCATTTAGTCCACATAGGCTTATAGGCATGCACTATCACTCAAAGGGTTTTTTTTTTTTTGAATTTGGTCATTTGAATTTGGTATGTATTGTTACTAGTCTATTATATATACATATATATAAATATGACGATGGTTAACAAAGAAATTAGAGAGATATGAGAATTGCTTCCACCGCACGTGTATATTTTTGTGCTAATAGAGAGGGACATTTTGTATTATCTTCCAACTTATTATAATACATAATTATCTTGGTGATCATGATCGTGAACTAAAAACTATAGGAAGATGGAGAGCTAAATTATATGTTTAAGTTAATCACCCATCAACAAACAAAATGCCAAAGTTCTTATAATAAATGAAAAAAATGATCATTGTTGCAGGTTTACATTATAGATTAGATGTTTAACTTACTAATATAATAGAAATAAATTATTGCAATTATAAAATGTCAGAAACTGCTTGTTGTATTTTTTTTCCATATATCTTTAATTATTTTGTGATGTATTAACCATTTATATTGATATGTGTAATAGTTACAATGACGAGCAAGGATATTGGTTGGGAACATGGTAAACCCGTGGGTGGGAATAGAAAAATTGTGAGATGCAATCATTGTGGAAAAATAATGCATGGTGGCATTACAAGATTGAAAGAACATGTCAGTCATGTCACAGGACAAGTTGAACCTTGTCCAAGGGCCTCAAGTGAAGTTAGAGATTTAATGAAAATGCATCTAAAGGTTGATAAGATTCAAAGAGTTGCAATAAAACAGAAAAAAGAAGAAATATTGAATTCTCTCCAACAAGAAAATATGTATGGTAATTTCAACATGGTTGGCGACGAGGAGGACGAAGTCTTTTTTGAAATTAATGAAGAAAGTCAGATGGCGTTGGAAAAAAACAGATGAAGCAAGCAATTAGAGAGAGCCAATACTTGCAATTTTTAGACGAACAACGAAGGCATTCGGTATCTGGGAGTCGACCGTCTATGTTTATGTCAGGTATGATTTGTAAACTAAAATATTATAACAAATTTGATATCATTTTATTAAATATAATTAAATAAAGTTGCAATTTAGTCATTCATTTTTTATTTGTTAAACATCGTGAATTTTAGGGAATATGGGTGTTGGCACTTCAAAACCAACTACTTCTCAAAATAAAAGAGGATTGTCACGTAATTTCAGTGTCAGACAAGCAGATGAAATGACAAGCAGAGGAATTGACTCACATATGTTTCCTTCGAAACAAAAATCAGTCAATCAATGTTTGTGACGAAAAATATAAAGAGAGTTGGTAAGACAGTTTCAAAGTTTTTTCATTTCAATGCTATATCATTTCATGCAGCTGACAATCCTTATTATCAATCAATGATTGATGAAATTGCCAAAGCTGGTTCTGGTATTAAAGGCCCTTCAGCTTATCAAATTGGAAATGAATATTTAGATGAAGAATTTGAAGAGCTTGAGAAATATCTTGGAGATATTTATGATAAATTTTCAACTTTTGGTTGTACACTTATGTGTGATAGGTGGAGCACTCGTACAAAATCCAATAATAAATTTTATAGTATACTGTGATAGGCACATGATATACCATAGTTCAGTTGATTGTACCAATAAGAAAACTGCTGAATATATTTTCAAGTTAATGGATGAGGTAGTAGAGGTTGTGGGAGAAAAAAATGTTGTGCAAGTTGTGACAGATAGTGAATCTAGTATGAAAGCAGCTGGACAACTGTTGATGAAAAAAAGAAAAAATCTTTTCTGGTCACCTTGCGCTGCGCATTGTATAGATTTGATGTTGGAGGATATTGGCAAAATGGATAATGTAAAAGAAACTATTGCTCAGGGGAAGAAGATAACAAGTTTCATATATAACAGTGACAAAGTAGTGAATCTGATGAAGACATATACAAAAAAAAGGGAACTGCTACGTCCAGGTATCACTAGATTTGCAACTGAATTCATTTCTATGGAAAGTCTTCTTCGGCATTCTACAGAACTGAAAAAATGTGCACCTCAGATGAATGGGCAGAGTTTAATAACACTACCAAGAGAAAAGCAGAAGCTATTAAAGTAGCTGAGTTGATATTGTCAGAGAAGTTTTGGAAAAAAGTTAGAAATGTGTGTGCAATAATGGAGCCTCTGGTCAAAGTTTTAAAAACTATTGATCAAGATAATAAGCCAACATTGCCAATTATTTATGAGGCAATGGATAGAGCAAAAATGGCTATTCAAAAGTCGGTGAAATCTTGGAAAACAATTTGGGAAGTGATTGATAATAGATGGTACAATCAACTTCATCGGGATTTACATGCGGCAGGTAATTTAAAATATTACATCCAATTTAAATATGTAATATATTTATTTATTTATTTTCTAATTTTGTTATTTTATTGTATTTAGCATATTTTTTGAACCCGATCCTTCAATATTCTGGAACTTGTGAGTTTAATCTGGATGAAGTTCGAAAGGGTTAAAGAACGTCATTGCAAAGTTGGAGCCAAATTTAGATGCACAAGTTGATTCAATAAATGAGGTATTCTTTTGATTATTTTATTTATTTATATTAATCAACAAATTTTAAAATTTTAACACTGTGTATACATTATTTTTGTAGATCAAAATTTTTGCAGACAAAAAGGGAGGCTTTGGAAGTGCTATTGCAGCAAGAGCATTACCAAAATCTTTACCAGGTTTCAACTTAATTCATACTTACATAAACATCTAAATCATATAAATGAAGTTAATATTTTTATAATATTAAAATAATAATAATAAATGAATGTTATTATTACTTTGTTTGTTTAGCTGAATGGTGGCTTAACTACGGTGAAGATGCGCCAAATTTAAGGAATATTGCAGTGAAAATATTGAGTCAAACCTGCACATCCTCTGGTTGTGAGCGAAATTGGAGTACATGGTCATTAATTCATACAAAACTACGCAACCGTTTGGCAGTTAAAAAATTGCATAAATTAGTTTTTGTGCATTACAATATGCGATTGAAGGTGAAAAATTTGATGCATCAAAGAGATACTGATGATTTCTACAACCCAATTGACTTGAATCACATTTTTCACCAAGATGATATATTGGATGATTGGATAAGAGAAACAACCCACATTGCCTGAAGATAATCTGGATTGGTTGGATAAGGGCATTCATCAAACTGAATCAGAAAGTAGTGAATATCAAGAACATGACAACGATGGTTTTGGTGATACATTGTCCCAATATATTACCAAAAGAAATAAGAAAGGTCTTGCTGATCCTCAAGTAGGAAACAAAAAAGTAAGACTAAACAAACCAGTAAGCAGACTGTTCCGTCATCTTCAAATAAAAGTGACAGCAGTAATGATGATGATGACAATGGTGACAATGGAGATGGAGGGAACAATTCTTTCAGGCATAGTGGTTACAATCAAGATAGCCAACAAGCAGGAGGTATGTCATGGGCTCAAGGACAAGATAATTATTATGCCACTCAAGATACTGATCATGGCTATCGTCCTGGTATAGAAGCACAACGTCAATTCCTCAATGATTTAACTCAATTTTCAAGTGAGGATACTTTCTCTCACCATTCAGGGTCACAAAGATATAGAGGAGTCAATGATCAGATGCAAAATTTGGGTATACACCAACTTATGAGCATGAATCTAGTCAAAACCGTAGTACTAGTCAATTGGGATATGGCTATGACCAATCATATGGAATCACTCCTGACTATTACAGTGGATATCGGCCATTTGACAGACCTGGACAGGTTGAAAGGTCTACTAGCATTCATGGTAGTGGATACTATGAAAAAGAAATAGATAAGTCTCATGATGGTTCTTCTTTTGATTCCAATAACATTGGATTTTATGGTCATGATTCTACTGCATCATATGGTACCAGCGATAGTGTTAACTATCGAGGGTTTGGATACTACCATCAAAATCATCTCCAATCCAGAAGTTCTTCCGTCCAATGATTATGGAACATCTAGTCAATCCTCACATCCAGTAAATACACCAGATAACTCGTTACACTACCTACTCAAGGTCCTATGCCACTTCCACATCTGTTTTACCATTCATCGACAAATGAGGATGATTTTGAACCACATCGTCATTCTACTTGGTATTAACAGGTACGAAAATATAAAGTACTAGTATATCTTTTTACATATTTACCTTTTATCTAATATGATTTCTTTTTATTTTTGGCAGGAGATTGATCAAAATATTCCAACTTTATGCTATAAATAAATCTTTAGTTTGTATTGTTAATGGTTGATATTACTTTTGCAATTATTAGTTTTAAAATTGTGGTCTATGTTATTTTGATTTTATTTGTGATGCCATTGTTTTAAATAATTAAAAGTACTTATCGTGTGTAATATGTATAAAAATAGTACATTTTACAAATTTTCTTTTGTTATTTTTTATTATTTTTGTTTAGCATACTTTTTTTATATTATTAACAGTTTTTAGAATATTAAATGCTTTAAAATTTGCGTCTCACTGACACCGACCTACTGCGACCGATATGTCGAGACCGATGTGGAACGTTCTGGGCCGCGACCGCGGCTTCGCACCATGGTCACAACAGAGACCTTGTTAAGTTTTGCCTTGCTGCTTCCCACAAATTCTATTTGCTTAGCCCTTTTAACTGCACCAAGTCCGTGAACATGATATTCTTGTTTGGACCCCTGTCTGCATTTCTTTCTACTTGAAGTTGAAGTTGACTCCTCTATTATCCTCTCCCTTTCTCAAAAAAAACATACATTATTGGTTTTCATGATCTTGTTCCTATTTCATCTGATTGCAGGGAGCTGCTAGTTGAATTCCACCAGGTATATTTGGTGCATAATTCCAGAGAAGCCAATCGCCTTGCGGACAGCTTAGCTAGGAAAAGCAGCAGTAGTGATTGTGGGCTTATTGTTTTTAATTCGTGCCCCTCTTTGACTGTTAGATAATTTAAGGGGATTAGCACTTTCCAGGATGACTGTAAATTCTTAGCTCTGTATACGTTTAGTTCAAAGCTATGCATGGCGCTTACCAAAATACAGAAAAATAAAAAGTAAGTTGTCTTCCTGGGCCACCCCTCTTTTGCCGGAACACATCGTCATTCCTTCACCCAGTAACTGAATCTGCAGCGTCCTGCACCAGTATGTCAATCAGCTAGCCTGCTACCTATATATGTCTACATATATCAATCAAACAGAGATTTTTACATTCCATTTAACTTTTTGTTGGATTCATCTCATCCTCCTCTGGATGCTGTTTTAATATGTATTTCGCTTTGAGTCTTTTTTTTCGTTAATTAAGTCTGTATATCTTTTCTTGGTTTAATTGATTGCGTTTCTTAGTTGGATAACTGATAATTTCAGAGCTGAATTGGGGTTTTGATTGATTTTCACTCAGAGTATGTTACTACCAGATTTTGTTAATCAATTGAAATGGGGTTTAATTGAAGTCAAGCATGAATGTTTAGTTCTGTTTTTTGTCTTCCTTTTATTGTTTGAATATGTGTTAATTTCCTTTTATTTGTCTGGCAGGTTATGGAAATTGCTGAATCACTGAAATTGGATATGGAAGTTGAGAGTAATACTTCTTTGAGGAAACCTCGAATCCTACTCGCTGCAAGTGGAAGTGTGGCTGCAATAAAGTTTGCAAACCTTTGTCATTGCTTTATTGAATGGGCAGAAGTTAAAGCAGTTGCTACAAAAGCTTCTATGCATTTCATAGATAAAGCTGCACTTCCTAAGGATGTGACTCTTTACACAGATGAGGAGGAATGGTCATCATGGAATAAGCTAGGAGATGATGTGCTACACATTGAGCTCCGTAGGTGGGCTGATATTATGGTCATTGCACCTTTGTCTGCCAACACACTTGGGAAGGTAAATATCTGTTATTTATGTTTATCAGATTGCCATTGATTTAACTGCTGGGTGAATTTTTTTCATATTTGCTTTAATGTTATTTGTGTACCTGTATGCTTAAACTTGTGAGATATCATCAAAGTTTGTGCTTAAACAAGGGTATGGATACTAGAATTATGAAATAATTGCAAAAGAGAGAAGTTTGCTTATTAACACCTTGAGGACCTGCTTGTAATTTGATTGTTTTAGATGTACGCAAATTCTAAAAATCCTTTTATTGATTAAAATTAAAGAAAAACGAAAAGGAATGATCAGAACTGAGGAAGCAATATTAATGGTACATCATTTGCAAAGCCATATTACTTTTGGCCATATGTTTTCAAATCTATGGCTCTTAAGTTTTATTTTATTGATTGAGAAGTGTTAATAAGATCACTTTCCATCAAAGTTTTTCACCCTTTATGCTTCATAAATCTGTGATCAAGACAGAAGTTCTCTTTGAGGAATTTTTTTCATGTGTATGGGCATTTTCATAACCTTTGAACAGAACTGAGGGACTACTATTGAAACATAAGCTCACTTGATTTGATACCCATACTCAGACATCTTGCAACAAATTGTGTGAAGTTAGACTGAGGAACAGTTTTACAGAATTTAATGATATGTGGTTTCATACTATCTCTCACATTCTTTGAAGTAGACTCACCCATTTCCATTAAGGTCAGACACAGTCCTGATATCTTAGCTTATTTGTAGATTGCAGGAGGATTGTGTGATAATTTGCTTACCTGCATTGTGCGAGCATGGGATTATAGTAAGCCACTTTTTGTAGCTCCAGCCATGAACACATTAATGTGGAACAACCCTTTTACAGAACGGCATCTTATGTTAATTGATGACTGGGGATCAATCTTATTCCACCTGTAACCAAGAGGCTAGCTTGTGGAGACTATGGGAATGGTGCAATGGCTGAACCTTCGCTCATCTTCTCAACTGTAAGGCTCTTCTTAGAATCCAGGGGTCAATCAAGCAATGGCAGCCAATGAACACCATATCACAAGGTTGTGACCAAAACAATTTGATATGCAGTGCACACATGTTACCCATCCAACATGCATTAGATGTGATTTTTGTACTGATCACCAATCTTGTTGTCCAGATTTTTTATTATGCTTAAATACATCTTCTGTCATACACCATAGAAAACCTACTTAAAAATGGGTTTCTTTTTAGAGTTGATTGAAATTTTTGTTGGACAAAGCATGAATTTCCTGATTCGCTCTGTATGAGCTGCTCGGTTGATGCAAAACAAAAATAATTAGTACCAAGTGTCCGACAGTTCCTTGGAGGTCCATTGAAAATTGTGTGACTAATATTCATTCCATATGGAGGCAGATAAATGTGAAACCTGCCAAAAAAAGGGGAGATACTTAAAGAGAGTTTCAGTCAAATAAGAATTTGAAAGCTAAATGTGTTGCGTATACTGCTCTTGGAACTGCATTATGTAAAAGATACTTGTGGCATGCAATTGAATTCCTCGTCTTATGTTTGAACTTCACTTTTGTTCTACAGCTCCAGTAGTCTATCATCCCTGTTCCACAATGTCAATCTGTTTCATCAGGAAGGGAAGCTGCTTTCTTTTCCTGTCTGCTTCAAATCTATTTGTGTTTGACATTTTGTCAAATCTATGAATAATATTTTACCCACATGCTTGTGAAATGGATCCAGTTTTTCCGTTTAGCTTTGCTAAGTATGCATTTCTTTAAAGTACCCTTTTCTATGTATTCTTTTGTTAATGCATTAGTGTCCACTCTAGGTAAAATTTGCTCTTAGTTTGATTTGCATTTCACTTATTTTTGATGGTGTATGATCTATGTGGACCATTTTTTGCATAGTTTGTAATCCTGTAACTTCGGTATTGTTATTCTTGAAAATTGTTCCTCAACACTTTCTTCTATTTTTGCTGGGATCTGGACCCTGGAATGATAAATTCCTCTGTGTTTTCCTTCTATTGAATTGTCAAGTCTTTTCTCTGTCAATTTATCAATGTGAATCACCTGCATAATTTAAGTCGAGTAGTTTGAACCTAGTGTAAGGAAGGAGACATAAGAAAAGGATAAAATTTACAGGCAGCCTTTGCCTGTATATTCATGGATGTCTTTGTCTGTTTTTCTGAGTGATATACATAGAGCACAATTTTTTTTCTTTCACTAGATTTTGCCTTCTGTGACGCATCATAATTTTTTTAGAACTGCTGCAATATAAACAGGTTGTTGAATTCTTGAAGTTTGAACTGGGATGCTGGTAGTGGGAAATTATGCACTTAGGACTTAAATTGGTCTTTAGTAATAAGCAATTTCTTTCAACCTCCTGTGCTCAATAATATGCCTCATCAGATGCATTGAATCTTTGATTCAGTGAAAGTGTAAATCTTAGTATTTATCGTACTTGTAGCTACTATTAGAAGTAGGAGTTGCTGCATAACTTCTGGTTTTCCAGAAGAGTAAAGAGGTTACTGGGGATGTAACCATTTTTGGAAATCAAACACACAAGAGGAAGGCAATTTTAGCATAACGATGCCTCTTTTCATTCGTTGAAAATTCCTCATTTTGATAAGAACTTTGGGATGCTAAACTTAGCGCGGAAAAAGTTTCTTATTCTAGACATTTGAGCCTCTCATTTATTTTCTGTTGTCCATTAATTGTTGAGACCAGAAAGATCACAGCTGTTAATTGACTTGCACTTTTCAAGGACCTTTTGATTTTGTGTTGCTCTAAACATTTGTTAAAGAGGTTAGTTTTTTATGTATTTCACACAGAAAGGATTTTTCAATTGCTTTTACAAGCATTCTGGTTCTGTGTGAATTAAAATTGAGTTGGAGAAAGATAAGATTAAAATTTGAGAGTTTACAAAGAGTTCTGTCTCTGAAACGAAGTTTAAAGCCTTCAGAAATTGGGAGTTGTACTATGTTGTTGTTGTTTGTGGGGGGTTGTGCATGAAAGATGATTCCGATTGTACAGATACTATCGCCGTCCCTGCTTTTTCAGGACAATGTCTTGCACAGTTTTGCATGGCCTGATGGGAAATGCTTTGCATCTATGCTTGAAGATCTTTGAATCCCCTGGAACGAGTAAGATTTTCTACAAGGTGAAGGTACTTTCAGTGAGAGCTGAGCAGTATATTCATGTTTAAAAAAATTTTTCTGGAGTCATCAGGGCTCAAGGCTTTCTTTCCTTGTCTGATGCTTTTTGGTCTGTTTAGACTCGTAGCAAATTTATCAATATGAAGCGGTGAACATAAGAAAAGAAAGATCGTTGAGCAACACTTTTTGTGCATAACAAAAAAAAAATGTGGGGTTATGCAGTAAATCATGTCATGTTTAGCACAAAAACAAGCTGTAATCTGTGATTTTGGGTATAACGAAGTCACCTGTCATCTTTTTTTTTTTTTTTTTTTTTGCAGAATCAGTTATTTTGCATTAATGATGCATAAACTGGATAACTCGTTGATCAGCTGATAAACCTCAACATTATCACGAACAACAGAACAAGTCAAACAAAAAGAAGTCATGCAAATGCAGATATATTATCAAGAATTATTGGTAGGGTACTAAAACTCAGGATTATTCCACTGGTGCAAAACAAAAAAAGCAAGAAAGAACTAGAAGATATGTAGCAGGCAATCAATCTAAATTAAATCTAGTCAAAAAGACTAAGACCCAAATCTTCATCTTCTTCCTCCTCTTCAACAGGCTCTGGTTTCTTTTCTTCATTGGCAGCAGCAGCACCACCATCTCCCGGGGCAGGAGCTGGAGCAGCACTTACTGCAGCAGCAAACTTGCTGGGATCCTACAATTTGTACGATGTCCAAAGATGAATTCGATTTCAGTTATGCTTTTGATTAGATTAAGTTGACTAGTACGAGAAATTAAGTTACATACCTTGAGGTACTCCGTGACCTCATCAGCCTGAGGGAAAGAGTATTCAGTCTCGACTGCAATGGCCAGGGCATTTTTGTACCCATTTATCAACATGTGAGGTGCAGCTGACAAGGCTGGGTATGAAATTTCCAGAGAAAGAGAAGTTGCCATAGAAAGTCCCACCAAGAACTTCACAGCTAGATCATCTTCTGTCAAATCTAGCACTTCAGGGCTAAAGACTGATCCATTCTCATAAACGGCCTGGACAATAAGGCCATAAGAGAATGGCCTAACCCCAAGCTTTGAAAGCAGAGCTGACTCAGAGGAACCAACTTTATCCCCTTCTTAATCAGCTCCACAGCAGTAATAATTTCAACAGTTCCCTTATTAATCTTAGTGGGGATATTGAGAACCTGGACACATCCACATGTGAGAGTAAACATTTACTTGTATGCATTCAAAATTCCCTGTGGATGATCAGAACTGGGTTGCAAATTTCAATTTGAGCTATATTGACGAGTTTAGTAATCAGAAGAACCCCTAAACCCTATGCATCAAATATGCCTCTTATACTCCCAAGAAAGATCACTAGAATTCTGACCAATGTCAGAGATTATGAATGCCTCCTGATACTTAGAAAATGATTAAGCACCTGGAAGAAGGATGTCTGCGATGGGTCAAGTCCGGTATTCCCTGGAGGAACGACAACATCGTCTGGAGCAATTAAACCTACACGAGCAGGGGACCAACCTGATTCACACAAACTAGTAAAATTAGCAAATATGGAAAAATTACCAAAGAAAACCACAGAAAACATAAATTCCCTGTGGCTCATATCAAAAGCTTGAACATAATTATTTCGACTTCAAAAAAAAAAAAAAGGAAAATTCATAGTTATTTCGACCTTGCTCAATTTTTTGATCTCTGCAAGTGTAAATCATAGTTATTATCATTAGATTGTATTACTTGATCATCTTAATTACTTAAACCAAAGATAAAAGATCCTACATAAAGGTTTATGTGATATTCTCTGTAGGTTCTTGATTTATCGCTGTAGGTGCAAAATCTCCTGTTTCAATAAGGAAGCAAATAGCATAGAGTAAAGTCGTATGTTTTCTTTAGCATTATAGTTGCTTTATAGCCCGTCAAGAAAGTTGTTACAGAAAAAAAAAAAAAAAGAAAAAAAGAAACTCACACACACGCACACACATGCATATATATATATATATATATATTTATTTATCTTGTATTCTTAAAACAGTAAGTGTCGATACAAGCTGAGCAAACATTTCATGTTTCCATGCACATGCATTCAATCATCAATAATAATGAAAACAATCAATGCCAAAAAAAAAAGGAAGAATTTTGTCCACACAGTTCAAAAGCTACAATTACCTTGTATTTTGAAACCTCCTCGCTTATTTCCTTCAAATCACCCTTCGTGAAGATCAATCCCACGTTTCCCTGAACGAAAAAAAAACCAAATTCAATTCCTATCAGATTAAACAAAAAATAAACACGGGAAAAAAAATTCTCATTTGAAAATTATGCATGAAAACAATTCTTTCAATAAATCACCAAAAAAAAAAACCCATTCAAGATGTCCTACAAATAAAGCATTTGACTACACCATACTTATATAACTTTAAAATAAAATTTAAAAAAGCAGGCTTAGAAAATTCAGATGCAGATTCCTAAGGAGTATACTTACAACAAGAAGGGGTATGAGATTAAGGAAACTTTTGTTGCCAGTATTTTCTGCATGAACCCTTATGGACCTCTTCATCATGGTATTCTTCCCCATGAGAATAACCGACTCTGCACGTAAACCTCTGCGGATATTCTGCAGCTGATTTGATCCAACATTGTCTGCTCCGACGATGAGTATCTGACTGTATTCATCCAACAAATTGCACAGTTTTTTATCGTAAGCGATCTTCTTCTCGGCCTTACTATGTTTCACCACCATCTTTTGATAGGAAAAACCAGGAAGAAAAAAAAAGCACAATCAGATTTATTTTTCTTGTTCTGGGGTTTGATCTAAAGTGGATACGAGGAAAAATGACAAGAAGACGATTGAAGAAATGATTTTAGAGAGATAAAGAAAAGCCCAAGTGTCGATAAGCCGAGAGCTTGGCGGTTTCGAGACGTGGAAAAATGGAGTACAACTGTACAAGTGAAGTGAAGAAGTGAACTTGAAGACGCAACGAAAACTCAGAATACTAAGTACCGAAAGTGTATAGTGTAGTTGGGACACGTTTCGAATTTGTACTAGTTAGCAGTTACTGTATTGGAGCCGACAGAACTCAAATTTTTATGTTAAAAAGGAAGAAAAAGAGTCGATATTTATATTTGGGTTCAAAATGTTAATGCCTCCAAGTTAAGTAATTGTCACGGAACTCTTGGAGTTGGCTGGGTGTTCAGGAAGATCTTTGAAATTTTTCCCAGGATTAGCGTTCAAGATCATCACGGAATTATTGGAATTGACCTAGTGATCGAGGAGAACCTTTAAAATTTTTTCCAAGATTAGGATTCGAATATTATACATCGCAATTGAGGGATGGAAGGTTAAAAAAAAAACGTGGGTTTAGTAAAAACCATCCTTTTATATGACTTTTTCAGATTATATAAATGAAAAAAAATTCTATATTAAATGACATATAACTAGCGACAGAAATCAGTTAAAAGATGGCATATTTGCTTTGATTTCAGCTTAATAATATCATAATTTTTGTAAGTGGACTCATAAAAGAATACCTTGGAATCCGATGGTATTAAAAGTGAAAACTTGAAACGGAGTTTTGAAAAAGTACTTTTCCACAAAATGATTCGGTGCGAAGAGCATAAGCTTTGCTGGCACTGAACATGTTATGTATGTTGAATTACCGATGTACCATATCTTCATTTCTTTTCCCCATCAAATATAGAGGATACAAGCGCTTCGATGTCAAATGTACAAGTAACAAATATTAATTTTTTTTTTCAAATTTTTTCCAATAGAAGAGTGGTGCGATTTAAGAAGTGGGAAGAGGGAAGGGGAATTTGATAAAGATCTTTATGCCCTGATATGTCAACTTTAGTTACTAGACTCTGACCTAATCTACGTATTAGATGAACATGAGACAATATACATGAAGACGTGTTGTTTGACAGATTATAGAAATTGACAATGATTGTGGTGCGTTACTTGAAAAACAAAAACAAAAGAGTTATGACTTGTGAGGGGGACGAGTAGAGAGAGAAATGAAGCCAGTCACAAGCAGCAAGTCGCTGAGTTTTATGCAGTGGCCTCTTAACATGTCTATATTTATATAAATTTGAGAAGAGGTTTTTAATATAGTTAAGTCAAAATGCTTCCAACTCTTCATTCTTTTTTTTTTTTTGTAGAATTTTGATTATTTTTAAGTTGTTATATATTCTTTCGTGCCTTTTGAATTCAAAAAGTAAGAAATGACTCCACTTATAGAAATTTGGTTTGAAATCTATTAATGTGAGGGTAAATAAAAAGGTAACATCACCAAACCTACTAAAAGTAAAAAAAGTAAACAATAACATTTTACCCTCCAACTTAGTAATTCTAACTAAAAGGGCAAATTATATAGAAAATAAAAAGTAAATAATATTCATTGGTCGTGGATTTAAAAAATCAAGAATGGTATCATTCATCAAAGCTAAATTGTGAAATCACTAACTAAAAAACGAAGTACCACTAGCCTTTAGATATGAAAATTTTTATTTTTGATGAAAAGTAATAATGAAAACAACACCAATTCTACCAAAAATAAAAAAATAATATAATTTAAGGGAAAAATATACACCATCCCTAAACTGTGTCTACTTAATTTGCATGTATCTGATCCAAATTTGATAGGGGAAGAGGGACAGATAGACTGTTGAAAGTTGTGTAGTTGGCCTAATTTGTATTGACAAAAGGAGTTGACTTGTGAAGGGGTACTGTTGGTATTTTTGTGGAAGTTGCTCTGGCAGGAAATTTTTGCTTTGAAAGCATCACGAACCAATTCTGGTTGAATAGTATGCAGAGCTCCGAAAGTATTTTAAATCAACCAACCCGACAATAGAATAGGAGGAAAACATGCCTAATGGCGGAGGCAGGATTTTAAGTTGGGCGGATGGACTTATATGCGTAGAAAATTGTCAACCTCCGAGCATAAATTTAGAATCATGGTTTTTTTTTTTTTTTTTTTTGACACCATGATGTTTAGTTGCAACTCAAAGTAAAAAGTTTTTTACTTAGTTTCTATTATTTTTCATTAGATTATTTTAACAAAACAATGACAAGCTTAGGTGTATGAGAAATAATATGGTATATATTCATTATGAATCAAAACATGCATTAATATATTTCTTACTATCACTACTCATTTCTCTATTTCCTCATCCTCGCAATCCTAAGGACAAAAGGTATAATTTGACTATTCCATAATATCAAACTTTGAAAATAAGCGTATTTTTAAGTGAAAATTTGAAGTGCACAAATAACATTTGCTATTTGGATGTAAATCCTGGTTTTGTATGTTTACAACGAAAACTTTTAATATATACAATTGTAAAGCTTAGATTTTACATTTCAGGGATCATATATATATATATATATATATATATATATATATAAAGATACAAGAACTTAATTATGAAATTTGGCAAATCAAAAATGAATTAGAATGCAATAACTAATTGAAAGGGATGAGCAATTTAACATCAAAGAAATTTTTCTTCACATAATATATTATTTTAAACTAGTCAATATGTAATGCTATAAAATTTAATACAAGTTGAATTTTATGAATCAATTAACTAAATACCAAGGTCAAAAATATTATTCTAGAGAATAATTTTGTTACAATCTTAGGAGCTGAAAGAAGGACTTTCAATGAAAATCTTCAAAATTTCTTAGGGCTAAAAGGAATATGTTGAGATTTGGAGGGAGGAGGGCTAGTTGCCCCCTTGGTCCTCTGTTACTTCCACCACTGCCATCCCTTCACGACAAGAGTTTTTTTTTTTTTTCCCACATTGATTTAAATTTTCTCTTTTAGTTGCATTGGATATATCTTTACTTTTTGTTAAAAAATTTTGATTCGACTTCGAAGAAGTTTTTTTATAGTCTTCCACTTTCAACTCATCCAAAATCGATTTACTAAAGAAATAAAGCATTTTCTTTCACAAGAAATATCCTTAAAAAAATATTTTGTACTAACAACACCAATGTTAGTTTTTGCTTGTATGAGGTATAAATATAACATATTCTTTTTGGAAGAATTGCACAATATTCAATATCTTCTTTGATCTTGTTCTATACATAATTTATGCAAGAACCTTTGCTGGCTTGCGGCATTGCACAAGAAGAGGCTCTTTTTAGTTTCTAATTTTTTTTTATGGCAATGATAACATTTTTATAGCCTAATCTATCTTATTATAGGGGGAGGAGAAGGGGAAGGCTAACCGACAAGTCACTGAAAATACAAGCCACATATAGTGATAAGTGTTTTGGTGAAAAATAAGGTTTAAAGTCT